TGTTCTGCAGGGACACGACCACAAGAAAAAGTCAAGCCACCTTCCTGCCAACCCCCTCTTTTGCCCTTCCCGTTTCCCCCATCGCTCGCACCTACACGCAGCGCTGCAGAGGATGCTCTCGCCTGCACTCCCTCCCAGCAGAGCCCTTTTAACACCGCGGGTTTCTCGGAGCTCGCCAGCCTTTTTTTGAGGGGGGATGCCTCTCCCCGGGACCGAAGGCAGCGCCGCTCTAATTATTGCCCTTCAGCTGCGACCCACAACCCGCCCTGCAGCCGGGAGCCCAGCTGCAACCTCCAGAGAGCCCGAAACTGGATCCCGCTCTTTCAGCTGGGTTATTTCGCAGAGGTTTTACGTTTTGGTGGGAGATATTTTTAGAAGAAGATAATGCGGTTGCCAGCTCTCACGGGAATCCTTCTGTCCCCGAGTCGTTGCTGTTGAAGCGCTTGGCTCAAACTGTGGAGGAACAGCATGGGGAAACTGGTTTTCTCAATTCCAGTAACCCCCTCCTGTTGGGGGATGAATGGGAAAATTTGGCAAAACCAAAGCTTGGCTTTTCTGCTCGGTCTGAACTTCAAGAAACTGAGAGGCCTCAAAAACGTAAACCTAGGTTTATATTCAGTTTTATACCACCCATGAGAAACCAGGCAAATAAGGATAAAACCTCCGTTCAACTCTTAATTGCACCTGAGGGTTAAGTTAATGAAAATATTTCCGTTTTGCTCTGTGTGGTGGCTTCAAGACATCCTTTAATGCCCCTTCCCGGCCTGAAGACTCGCTGTCTGATCCTTGGCACCCCACACTTGTCCTCGTGTTTCAGGGGTCACCAGGAGGCTTTGAAAGGTGCCAGTGAGTGGCCTCGGTGCAGGGACACGGAGGTGTCGGGGCTGTTCCTCCAGCCGCATCAGCAGCAGGTACCAACGTGGTTTGTCTCTTTTATGCTGAAGTGATGGCAAAAGGATTTTGAAGGAATAAACTGGATTTTTTCCAAACTTGTGGCCTTTCGCTTGGAGAAATATTGTGACTCAAAATCTGAAAATGAACAGTTTAGCATTAAAAAAAAAATAATAAAAAAAAAAAAATTTAAAAGAGGACTTGGAAAAGATTGCCAAGAATAACACTTTTTCCCCAGCACCGCCACGTGCTCGCTCATGCAGTTTGCTGCGCCCTTGCTGGGGAGGAGCTGAGGGTTTGCTGGCACGAGAGCAGAAGCAAAGGGACCCAGAGGAGTTTTAGTAACAGAGCAACCTCTTGGCACTGATGTATTTTAGCTCAGTTTTGTCCAGGTGATGAGGAAGAGGAGCTCACTCACAGGTGTGGCTTGGACTTGCAAAACACATGGCAACTTGATGGTGTCCCAATTACAGCCAAAGAGCCACCCACACGGGTTTTGTCACCCAGGGACTGTCCGTGATGCAGAGACGAGCTGCTGAGATGAGACTTTCCACCTGCCCCAGCCCCTCTCAACACGCGGAGCCCCACGACCTGCAAAGACGCTGCTGCAGACCTGGTGCTTTTGAAATATCGAGCGTATTTCAACCGGCCCATCGCTGAAGAGGAAAAGGGATTGTAGGGGATGCAGACGAGTCAAGATAAGGAGATCTGAGGTGTGAAGGTCCCGGCCAAACACACCTTTCCTGCTGGCTTTGATGGGGATCTAGCACACAAAGACCTCAGAGACACCAACCCCCTGCTCCCAACTGCCTTCCCTTCCCTCCCTCCATTTCTTCACGGCACCAGCCCTGCTTTCTGCTTTACAGCGCTGCAGTGACTTGTTGCAGTAGATGCAGGCTGCTTCTCAGGGAAGGAAACAAACGCGCTAATAGAGCGCTAATTAGGATACTTAATTACAGACAAAGTTGTTCAGCTCCTGCTGAAAACCACCTGCTATTCTCTTTGGTGTCTACACCTGGGGGTAGACATAAAAAACACCTTCAGCTGCATTTGACCTGATCTTCACCCGTGACCACGGTTTGGTGGTCAGCAGCAGCCTGAGGTTCCCTTTAGCTGGTCAGCTGGAGCTCCTGCTAGTTTGTCCCTTCCAAGTCCAGGCCTTAAAGCCAAGCAAATGCCTCTTTCCACCTCTATATTCCTCACTCAATACATTTTGCTAAAGCAGCAGCACTCTAGATAAAAATTGTCTTGAAAAGGAAATGAACTCTGGGTAGACTTGGGGACGTTCCCAAGTCCAAACGCAGCATCCCTGCCCTTCTCCCCTTCCTTTGCAAGCTTTCTCTTATACACTGCCTGTGACTTGGGAATCACCAGGGAAGACCCAGTCGGGACTAACTGATTATTTTTTTTTTTACACAAATGGCAGTGTAATCTGTGCCTCCGCTGCACACCCCACCTTTGGGGCAGCCCCCCGGGGCTGGATCCGGGTGCAGAGGATGATTCTCAGCAGCATGGCACAAAAAGCAATTTTCCTCTCAATAAATCCGGGCCAACGTATCTAGAGTAATACTTTGGGGGGGGCTCTGACATTTTAAGGTCTTCATAAATCTCTCCCTAGCTCTGCCCTTCAGGTCCAACTCCTCCTCTTGGGGTTTCTAAGCCACCTGTGTTTCAAGACCCCCAGGCTTCACTCCCCGTCCAAGCTGGCCCATGGGCCCAGTCCCCGTTGTGGGTCTCGGCGCTTCTGTTCCTACACCCATCACCTCCCACGTTCCACATCCACCTCCCCCCCCCACCACACACACACATGGTGCCCGGACGAAGGGATGAATTACCAACCTCAGCTGCCGGAGGCTCTTTGTTTTCATCCACAACTGGCACGTTCCACACCAAGGCACCGCACCCGCCTGGCGCTCCCCGTCGCCGGCAGCTCGCCTTTCCTCTCCCTGGGGAAGCAGCCAACGCAGCGACGGCATTCGGCGGTTCTGCTGCTCCCTCCAGCACCCTTTGCCTGTCGGGGACAGCAGCAGGGCAACCGGCCACCTCTCACCTCCTCAAATGCCACGTTCCACCTCTCCAGGCCCAGCTGATCTCGTTGCACTTTCTTTTCAACAAAAAGCTTGGCAGGAGGCAGCCAATTCTCCTACAACAAGGTCCCGAAGTCAAGGTTTTCATACTCTCATGCAGTTTCCAGTAGTCTCTGGATAAAAATTGCATCGCTTCTAATAAAGATGAAAGGGGGAAAAGCGTTAAGTACGTTGCTGAAGCGCTGATAACCCCTGCAGTGGTTTGTAGTGTTTGTTATCTGCACCAAGGAGCTGTTCACAACAGCCTGAGCAGCGAGGGGCCGTGCGGGGACCCCGATGCTCCGCACTCCGTGCCACCAGGTCCATCGCTGCTCCAGGCTCTGGTGTACCTCCAACCTGCAGCAGCGAGACCCTCGCCCCGGCCCGGGGCTGCATGAGGCCCCCCCCCCCCCCCCCAAAAAGGCAGGCTGACACAAAGGCGAGTTAGTTAAAGCAAACAGCCAGGCAGCACAAAGGATCAAACCATTTTCCTTTGCCAAGCGGTGTCTTTGGAATAAAAGGACAAGATGACCCACGTGCTGCCCCGCCAATCCGGCTTCATTTTTAACCTTACGTCCTCTGCACTATCACTTACAGCCCAGCCCCTCCGGCTGCTGCTTTCAGGAAGCAAACAAATCAGCCTGGCCAGGGAGGTGGAAACAAATTCTGTAGATAGGCCTGATTTTGCGGGAGCAGGAGGGAAGCAGACAGAAGTAGCCTGAAGGTTAATCAGCGCAACAACAGCAAATGCTAGCAGGACTTTACATGTTGAGAATTAATTATGTTTCAGGGGATTGCTTCCTTTTGATGAATGCTGAGGACTACAATAGGACGGTTTTACTTGTCTCAAGGGCCTTTGTTAGTCTATTTTCTTTCTTGTACCAATCAAATATGATTTGTTTTAAACATATCCTAAACTGAGCTGGCACGGTGGCTTTAAGAGCTCCTGCTGGTAACTAGAACACGCCAAGCCCAAACACCAATTCACGAACAACCTCCATTTCTGAAGTCTTTAGGGCAGAGCCTCTCCACAAACTGTAGGATCTGCTGAATTAAGAGGCAAAAGAGCAACGCGGGTGCATTTTGCTTCAGCTGCTGATTAGCGGAGACAAATAATTATCATGGGATGGCCTGCACCCTCACACCAGTGCTAGGTTCTGGAGAAGACCTGAAACAAGAAGACCAGCCCCCAAACCCTAATACCAATCCTGCCTTACTGGTTCTCAAAGCTAAAACCACATGGCTGTCAGACAGTCTGGTTTGGGTTGTTTGCCCTCGACAAAATTAATTCTGGGTAATACTCTTTCTAAAGTGACTGAAAGTCAAACTCGCATTCGCTAGAGTTAAAATTAGCTCCATTTATTTATTGCTAATGTGTGACCCAGCAGGACAAGGACCAGACAGCATTTTGGATTTAAAATGTGTTTTTACAGAGCAGCTGTCATTTTTGATTCTCATTTGCTTCAACTGCGTTCTGACCTAATCCCGTGAATTCCTACTCACAGGAGCAACCTTCGATCAAATTTTCCCCACACAGAAGTGAACTCCAGTGAACCACACAGAAACGAAGACCTGTCCCGCAATGAACCGGCAAAGCTCCGAGCGCATGGCGCTATTTTTGCTTTGAAATGTCTCTGTGTTCTAGATCAGTCGCGTAGTATTTGCAAGGAAGTCTTACAGAGTCCGACAGCGAGGGGTAAAAGAGGGAGAAGGGAAAAGGAAATCACAGGGAAAGGCGAGGGCAAAGCTCCAGGGGATGATGAAGAGATAAAGGAACAGCAGGAGCGGGGATGGGTGGCAGGGGAAAAGGCCCCGGGGTAACCTCTCCTGGCTCACCAGCACAGCAATTATCGTCTCTGACACCCAGTTACTCGTTTCTCTCGGTTTAACCTGCTCATGCACGGGTTATACACATGCAAACACAGCAGGGTCAGAACCCCTCAGCCAGCCAGCACGGAGGGAGAAGCTGAGAGAGCAGGCGACTAACCAACTGCTTTTATTTCTGCCTCAGGTTGAAATTGAAGGAAAAGCATTTGGGCCATGTGCATTTGATCATACATGACCTTTATTGGAGACAGGTGGGGTCATTTATTATACAGAAGTAACATCACACCATTCTCTTCCAATTTAATTCCTTTTAGTCTCCTTATAAATCTGTAGCAAAAGTGCACTTTTAACAGTTTTTAATCTATAGTATATATCTTTCAATATTCTCTCTGTCAGGTATTTTATTTGTAAAAATGTATCACCAGATATACAAAATACATGTCTAGTGTACTACATTAATTTTTGTATTTACTGTTTAGGATTATTTTTAACTCAGTGCTCTCTTTTTTTTTTTTTTTTCCTTTTTTTTTTTTTTTTTTGTTTTCCCTTTTTTTTTTTTTTTTTTTTAATTTTTTGCAAGACTTAGTGATGACTGTCTTCTGGTAGCGCCACCAGGAGAGGACTCACAGCTTGTGTGTGAACAAGGGGAGAAAACTCTTAGCCAGTAACAATTTTCACACAATAGGAACAAGATGACAGGAACGTTTGCTGTTATTGAATATGTCTCTTAAAATGACAGTACTCTGTATAATAAAAAATAATTAAAAAACCCAATGTCCGTATTTTATCTTCTGGAAGAGGAGATGTGCCAGAAGAATGGAACCTGTACCCAGTTGGAATACAATGGTAATGATTAACTTGCATTTTGAAGACAGGAGTTAATTGCTAACATTACGTTTCTGGTCATGATAAGAAGAAACAGATACATACAGCCACCACAAGAAACTGTTTGTGAAATGCTGTTTTCCTGAGGACAATGTTTTGGTAAAATATTTTATATCCTGTACGAGCCACAGAATTGCATAAGTTAAATGTCCCCAAGAACAACAATCACTGGTATATCCCACGAACGGCTGTGCTGGGCGCAACCACCCAGAGGACAGCTCTTGTGTTACCTAACAAGATGAAGAAAGAAAAATACTCATTTCCACTGGTAGTTTAGAGCCAGCTGCAACAAGCTTTGGCACGGCAACAGGACTTTTCAAAAAGAAGATTACAGAAGATTTTGTGAGATTTCTTACAAACTTCCTTAGTCTTTTCTTTCTAGTTATCCTTGAGATTATAATATATACACACGTAACGGATAATTACTTGGTTTCAGTCTTCAAAAGACTAACAATTTCCCCTGTGAAGCAAGGCCTATAGAGGTAAAACAATCAGAAGCATCTGTAGGGGGGAGTTATGATTCCCGGATCGATACAAACATTGCCAACAGATGATGAGGAACATTTAGCCAGGTGATGTCTGGGCTGGTTGGATGGTTTTCCTTCTTACACGTTCATTCTCTTGAAGACTAAGAACAACTGGATTAGTTACATAAATAATGCTTCCCTTGGTTAACCCTTCACAATTAGTGCTGTTTCTGTGTAGTAGCATAGATTCAAAAGGCTAGTTGCATCAGTTTACTATGTATTGAATGAAACATCGAACAGATCCTGTTTCAGAATGAGGGCACTTTTGGTTTACGCAATAGCTCCAAGAAACGCTGTAACTTCAAACTTTCTACAGCAACTGGTTGCCAGACATATTCAAAAGGTAACTGCTTTTCTGCTCCCCTTAAATTTGCAGCAGTGTGGCTTTGAGTCAAAACTTCTGCTTCAAAAGAAAAATGCACAATAGACTAGGCTGAATGTGGACGAAGTTCTATACCTTCTGAAGAAGAAACAGATCAGTAAAAATAAAAATCTAAAAAGAAGCAGTGTTGTTAGTGTTATCTAAACCCAAGATAATGCATAATGGGGAAATTTACAATGCTGCAGCGTTTTTTTGTCTGTTTTTTTTTTTATAAAAATCACAGACTTGACATTTCCAATATGTCTTAGCTTTGTACTGCTTCTCAAGTCTGAGTCACCAAAAATATCCAGCAACCAGCTGCTGTTCATATCCTAAAATATGCCTTCAGCTGACACTGAATATTGAAATCATTCTGCTAAAATACAGAAAAACGACGATGGTAGAAACCAAGGTATAGTCTCAGGCCAACATTAAATGGTAAAAATTCTACAATGCTACTTTTAAATCTCTTCTTCAGTTCATGAACAAATAAGCAGCCAGGTTTCAAGTAGAGGTAACACAGATTTTGGAAGATAGCACGTAAAAAAAGCCCAGAAAGAAAACTGGAACAAAAGCTCTTCTTCTTACGGCAGTCAGCACTAATCCTCCACGAAATGCAGGGAGAAACCTTTATTCGCCCTGCTGGATCTGTCCTGGTCCTACAGCAACAATGAGGAACTGCTTCTGCTGTCACAAATATGTTCCATTTGGACATATCTTGATCCCTTTTTTCTTTTATTTGTATACATGTATCTTTTTGTCTTAGTCTCTTGACTGGTAGAAGAGGATATATCCAGATTCTGAGTTTTTGGAAATGTCTGATGTTAACCCATAGAATTCTTCAATGGCCTGGGCATCAATTTTCTGAAAATTAATGAGAGTTATAATTAGCCTCAGTCAAAATTCCACCTTAAGAATCCCTTTCCCAGACAAAGCACTATTTCCAGTTCTTGGAGGTGATGCTGGAAAGCCACGCACTATTAATACAGCCATATTTCAGTATCAGTGAATCCAACCAAATACACCAAAACATTTTTTCCACTTGATACCTTGTTCACTGTTGAAAAAAAAAAAAAAGGAAATCAAGTTGAAATAATAAACCTCTCAGAAGTGCTACACTCTTAAGCTGGACTACAAAAAAAAAAAAAAGGGGATCCATGACAACGTATCCTTAAAAGAGTACATGACATTTTTGTATTTGCTTTCTCATTCAGTATGGTGTTAACTTTCCTGACTATGTTTGTAATGTAAATGAAAAAAAGCAGTCACTGATCAGCAAAGACTTTCGTACAGTTGGGAGTACAGAAGGACCATCTTGAGCAGTCTGAATATTCAGCTGAAATAAGTCCAAAGTTCCTGTGACCCTCTTATGTAAAGAAGACCTGCAAGTGCTACTGGCAGTTATACCATGAAATCTGTGGATCTCATCCGATTATGATCTTCTGGTCTTATGAGGGCTCTCCTTCCTTAGGATCTGCTGGTACAATGCCTACTGGAGTATTATCATAAGGTTTGTGTTTTAAGAGAAATAAGTTATTTGCCATACTAATAGAATTAAATGGCCTGCTTATATTTCAAGTTGTGAACTATATGCAGAAAAGCAGTTTTTCATTTTATACGCCAACCAGCAAGGCCTGTAAGGGCATTTTAGAGGGCTTTTAAAGATGCAAGTTCTACAGTCTTGATCCCACTCCTGAGAACAACTGGCTTCACGTTACTGAATTTGATTCTGCAGTAAGTAGAGAGCAAACACAGAGACCAAAACACTGAAATAAAATACTCCCAGTGACCTGTGTTGCTCAGCACTCCGCTGTGTTTTAGTATCTGAAAATACCTTTAGGATCCTGGATCCACAGACATGAGAGGCTGAAGTAGCCCAAATTTGTTATGCAGGACCAAAGGGAGACTAGCCTAAAGTTTCCCTTTTTTCCCCGAGGAATAAAGTTGAGGAAGCAAAGAAATGACCAGAACAGAAGAGGCTCTGGGCTGCACACCTGCTTTGATCATGAGAGGAAGTAGCAGAGATCAGCTTGTGCTCACATCTTAAAAGAAAGGGACTATGCTATGACTCCATTGAGGAGCCTCCTCAGCTACAGGATCTATCTGGCAGTGTGCTAAACCGTTGCTCACTGAACAGACTGTAGCACCACCAGCAAACACAAAAGCACTGGCTTCTCTCAGAGGCACTGCCAAGCCACCTGTGAGTTTAGGCCATCCTTTCCTCAGCCTTTCTGAAGCACAAAGAAAACACAGTCAGTAAGTTTCCAGAAGATGAATCAACTGCAGGACAGAGCTGCAGAAATTTTCCTTTGAATAGTTTTGCTGAACATCTCCTGTTAAAAAAAAAAAAAAAAAAAAATATTGGGAGGGGGTGGAATAAGCCCCAAACAGGTATTTTGTCTTTCTTTCATCTCCATTTAAGGAATACAGAGAAGCTGAAATACTGTACTGAGGGCTTCTGCATTTTCACACAATTTATTAACATAATGTCTACTACAAAGCGTTAGATACGTTTTAACAGAAAAATAGCAAAAGAACATTCTTCAGTCCTTGTAATATATTTAGCAGACAACTCAAACATGTTTTATTTTAAGTGCCAACTAACTTGCCATGCAATCAAGTCTATTTCCACAACTCATTTTGAATGCAACTCAAACACTCGATGTAGATTAATTCATCCTACAGATATTTTTAGTTTTATCACAGCAAAACCGACTTCCTTCTTTAATTTCACTATCCACAGAAAACACAGTGGAACTGAGAGAGGATTATATAGACTCTATTCTTCCCATCCTTAGCTGACCATGGATATTGTGGACAGCAAAGTTTTACACAGCTGCAGCTTTAGAGTAACAACCAGTCGATGGTTTCACAACTACTTCTAGGGTTTTGCAGCCTCCCCTGGCATTAAGGCGATTCTTCCTGTTAACTGAGCTTAAATACCCTTTGCTCTTTTCCAGAGTATTCTGGTTCCCCAAACCTCCTCTTGCATACCATTCATAGCATTCAATTACATGCTGCAAATCTCTGAACAAATATTTAAACAAAGGCATTCCCCCCTTTTCTCCATTTGGAGAGCTCCCTGGGTGGACACTTCTCCCTCTCTGTTTTAGATAAACATTGTCACTGTGATGTATCACTTAACTGCTCTAATGACAACATGTCAAATTAGCCAGAGATCATTTACTCAGGTTTCTCAATTAATTTTCCTTGGCGCAGTATCCCATTTGGACCGATCTGCCTCCTGGATTTGATGCAGTTGCTTTTCACATATGCTGTAGTATGTTTGATTATCATCTATCTTCAATTTAATTGGAAGTTGGCCTTCCAACCAAATCCAAATAGATAAATAAATATGACTTCACCACTGATGACATTTAGTGGGTAATGAGGATAAACTACTTCCTATTGACAGTTCAGAGCTATTAATTCATATCACTTGCCAAAAATGCAACAAAGCTTTTTAACGGTATTCGAGGGGGAAAAAAGCTATCTTCTGTGTTCTTTCGGTTAGAAAAAACCGTATACAGGTACAAGGGCTTTGGACTCATCTTCTGAAGTCTGCTGACTAGTATCTGTTTTGTTGTGTAGCCAGTTCACACCTAGAATGTTAAGTCTCCAAAGCTTAAAAAAGACAAAAAAGAAAAAAAATCTGCTTTAAGGTTCTTAAGAGTCTCTAAAGAGTCGAAGGCTCCTGTGGTTAGCCTAAAGTCATAAACCTTATGCAGAATTTACATTTTAGGGGATTTGGGACTTTGGGGTTTCATTTGCCACTCCATTTTTAAGGACAACCTCTGTAATGTCATACACAGCAATATATTTCCTGTAGTGTCACCTTATGGCCAATCACAAACAGTTTGAAAACAGTACTTGGTGAAATTCAGAGTAGATATTTAAATCTCTTTAGGCAGCAGACAGAACTGACAAAAGTAGTTGTGGTTTTACTTCACTTTTTTAGTGAATAGCCTGCAGCACTAGTAAGGAACTAATTCTCAAGAGCTGATGACTAAGCAGGGAGAGAGAACAGATGAGTAAAACCACAGCTACTTCTTCCAGCAGCCTGTAGCATCAGGAACGGAAGAGCAGTCTCCACTATCCTGTTCTTGATCACTGAACCGCCAGAAATTCAGGCGAATTCTAGAAGGTTGAGGAAAGAGCAAGGGTGGTACTTGCTAGTTAGAGGGAGGTGAGAGGTAAGCTTCACGTTCATCACACATTTAGAAGGCAGGAGCAGCTGCAATGGCTAGTCAGTGAAGAGATCCTCGGGGGCAAACCCAGCAGGAATCCTGATGCTACACTCTTCAGAGCAGGTCAAGCAACAACTGTTCATCAGAAAGGTCCAATGATCTCAAATGACTCGTGCAAAACTCTCACATGCAATTTTTCATGCCCTCCACTGATAGGAAAAGCAAAGCCTCAATTTCACAGAAAAACACCACATGCAAACGCCAAACAGGGGGAATCTTCTAGCAAGAAAAGGAATCTTAAACTTCCGATCCACAGCTGGGGCAGAGGTAGTGCTACAGGACAGGGCTGCATTGGTAAGCCTCATCAAGACAGTGAAAACTCAAAGAACCATGGAAGACACAAAAAGTAGAAATTTCAGATCAAAGAGCTTTATTTTTACAGCAATTTAGATAACCTCTGTAAAAGAAGATGAACTTAAAAAGAGAAAGCCATGGAAAAAAAAGCATTCCTCCAGGAGAGAGGAACTACATGCTAGCTTACTTGTGACAGCTCCTTGAATTTATTGTCCAATAACAAACAGTGCATATTTAAAAGCTACGTTTTGGCACATCTATAATAGTGCCAACAGTCTGCAGATGAAAAGAAATTCTGCTTTGACCTAAAAGCTAAGATACAACATAGAAGTGACTGATAAAAAACAAATACAGAACAACAAGTTGGTTCTTTTACATCTACTTTTAAAACGTAAAGTTCATCTCCTGGATTGAAAAGGCAGCGAATACTTGCATTTAAAAATACTGAACACTATTTCCAAAATTAGCTGACACAATTATGTACTTCATCCATGACAGAAGCAGAGGAAAATAACCCTCAAAACATAATAATGGGAGAAAGGCAACTGTTGACAGTCACATAAGCTATCCAAATCATCAGGAAGTCACCCCTGATGCTCAAAGCTAAGCAAAGCTTAAAAAAAAAAAAAAAATTGGAGAATATACTACATCATCTTTATTTCAACACAAGCAAGGATTTTGCTGTGCCTATTTAGACACCTATCATCAGGCCTTAACCTTGACCAGGAGATCTTAGAGGCAAACAGTACATTTCCATCTTTACAAAAAGCAGTTCTACTATGGTATTTGTTCTACTGATTGATATTTACTTAACGATTATGTGAAATACATGGATATATAAATATTTTGGATACCAGTCTTACAGATATGTTAGTAGAAAAGGTAGGGAAAAATTTGCTTGAGCAGATTGTGGAAACACTATCACAAATAGCCCAAACATCTTTGTATACACTCTCAGGACCTTAATACAGTCTCCCAAATCTTTTTTTTTACAGTTTTTCTACAATTCAATTTGTTGGGGAAAACTGCCTATAAAAAAAAAAGGTTAGAAGTTCTTAAATGCAGCAATGAAATGCAACTAGCACAAAGCAAGTTAGCAACAAAAAGGAACCCAAAAGGCAGGTTGAAATAAGAGCATTTCAGATCTCGAATAAGACAATTGTGATATTTCAGTCCAAACAGGTGCACACCACCCCATGTCTGAGGTGTCCACACAACCCTCGTGTTCGTTTGCCCTTCTCCACACCACTTCTATAACGAAAATGCACAAAAACGCTGAAGTTTACTTTTGAAACGTCCGAAATTATTCTGTGCACAGGTTTTGCTGAAATACTTTCACAGGTGCAAAAGCTAATCCCAGACATAAAACCAGAGCTGGAGAGTGATGCTGTCTACACTTGTTTTCACCATGTAATAGCATACCCACCTCTACAATGTCATCATCAAACAGCAACCAAAAGCCATGGCTCTTCACAATGGTGATATAATGTCCACGATTTGGACCACTGCCAGAAAAAAGGATTGAAGACTTATTACTCTGGTGCCTACAAAGGCAGGATGACTGCTCTCCCACACGATTACTGGCAGAGTTAGGTTTCCCAGACCTTAATGTTGTTTAATACTACTCGGAACATTGTTTCGGTTCTTAGACTTTACCAAATTGCTTGAATTAAAATTTCTGCCTTTGCTACTTGCCAAATGCAATATATTCAAAATACACAATTTCATAAATATTTCATATAGTTGTTCATGTATTTCAACAAACAAAATTAAAAGCCACTTATTTCAATCACTGTTTTGTTGCATTCACCACCGCTGAGAATTTTTTTAATGACCATCTGTCTGAAATATTTGATTTGCACGGGAGATACTTTTAAAATTCTCAGTGTGGTTTAGCCTGTGACTGACTGCAGACAGGCTTTCTGCGACTGGTGTTCCCACTTTTCTAGGGGCAGTTTCCCAGTCCAATTCTATACCCTACACCCCGAACATTTGCCTTGAAGGGAAGGGACAACAAAATGACCTAACTCAAAGGGAGATGGTTTTGCAGGGTAAAGGTAGGCAGGCTGCACTGAAGAGGTAGCAGTTTGAGATAATAAACTATATGGGTGGAAAACTATGAGCTATCAAGCTACTAACCTCAAATTCTCAAACAGCAGTCCAGGGACAGAATGAAGGGGGGAAAAGAAAAATAAAAATTTCCTCCCCACCCATGGATTTACTTTTTACTTAGTACCTACATCAGGCTTTAAAACAACCTATGTTCGTATTAGCTGTAGGTAAAAGAAAGTACTTCTCTAGTCCTAATTATGGATACACATAAACACACTACCTGTCAGAGAATGAAATTTCTTTTAGAGCAACTAAATGAAAAGTAAAACTCTAAGGTCAAAATATTTAAAACAAGTTGTGAGAACTTAAATATTTAGAAATTGTAGTTTATTTTAAGCCTTTGGTAAGTTCCTAGTAAGAATTCAAACCAGAAGAGCCACGGGATTCCTAAAAGCCCCGTAACAAGACAAAGGGTTTGAGAAGAAAAAGCAAAGCCATTTAATGCATCTGAATTATTAGCCACCATTGTTAAAACAAAAATGTAGTTACAGGTATAGCAACTAAGAATCTACAGAAGAAAATACACAGGATAAGATCTTAAAATGATAAAAATATACAAGATAGCACAACTATATCAAAACAAAAATCACCTGAATCAGATGTAGTTTATTTATACTAAACCTATGCAATACTAGTGTTGATTATATTGTCTTGTTCCTCACAAAGATGTTTCAAAACATTTGTGTGCTGTAATAACTTATTACTTTAAAACTCACACTTCCAGAAGGCAGTTATCAATGTTTTTTGTCTTCCATGACTGCTTTTTTCCTAAAAGTGCTTAAAAGTTTTTCCTCTTTGCTTGTAAAAACAGAATTAAAGCCACTCCAACAACAACAAAAATTGAATAAAGAAAATAAGGGTATTTTTAAAAATCAGCAGTACACAGTTTATTCCACATGGTGGCAGCAGCTTCTAAAAAAACTTCAATGGTTCCTCAAGTAGCAACATGAGAACTGCAACAATTCTATTTTAGTAAGTGTTTTTCCAAAATTTGTTTTTATTTCATGTAGCTTTCCGGGAAAGTAGGATTGGGGGTGGTTTTTTTTTTTGTTTGTTTTTTTTTTTTTTTTAAAGACTGCTCTTACTTTGCTACACCTCAAAGAAACAGCTTGTCTGAATTGCCACCATATTTGAAAGCCGATAAAAGAGCAAACCTTAGAGTGGGTCATCAGAAAGCAAAATTTAGACCAGGTAAAAAGTAATAAAAAAAGACTAAAACTCTTTTTCTAGTTCTGACACTACTTTGCATGCTCCCATATTATCAGCTGTGATATATATATATTGTATCATTATATATATTATTTTATATGATACATATATATATATCATGATATATATATAACATGGCACATTGATGACAGACTCCTTTTAAATTTCAAGCAGAGGCATTTAAGGTCCAGAAAGCACAAAACCAACGTACCTGCCACAGTGAACAACTACAGCCACAAGGTCATACATTCTGTCAGGGTTTGTAGCATCTCCTGAAGTGTTAAAGAGCCGGAGCTCCAAGGGAAAGACTACACGGTAGGAGAGTTTGGTGTATCGATGCAGCTGGTCCATGTATTTGAACCTTTTTAAGTGCAGAGCTAGGATCATGGGCAACTTTTTCACTCGCATTCTGAACCACAAAAATATGTGAAACAAAGAACAAGGTATTAGCAGATCACCTAAACCGAAGCTTTGTTCAAGAACAGTTTCAATATGAAGAAGCTCATTAAAAGGCATCTGAAGTGGTGAAGATTTTCAAAAGGCTTCTTTTCTCATGCATATTCCAGTGAGAATAAGCAATATTTATTCTGAAAGATTAACTAGACAACTGACACCTGAATGCAGGACAACTGTCTATGTTGAAAACATTAATTTTTCATCACATCAATGGGAAGAAAGAGATGAAATAAATCTGTCTTGCTGCTCTGGCTGTGACCAAGTATGAGGGGAGAAATGAGATTTTTGTATATAGTATTCCAAGTGCAAGCAGACGGAATGGTTTCCAGTGGCTTTTAAGCTGATTAACACTAACTGGGGAAAATGTGGATGTCTGGAAGCACCAGATATAAGCTCTTCAGGGAGGAATACAAAACTAACCTCTTTGTTTCTCTCTGATAAGGTTGCCACAAAGTTACTTGGTCTCTCCACTTTTCCTTACTCCGTGTTCCATCAAACACAGGCAGACCGAAACAGTGTTCCATTTTTTTACTGAATTCACAAGGTGTATTTTTCCAACGGCTGCCCATTTTAAGAGAATATTTACATTAGTCTGAATATGTGAACCTTACCTCTTCTGTGCTTCCTGTTTACTGCGGCACTGCTCACAATAGTATTTATATTCACTGCATAGAGTTTCAGTATTACTAAATCCTCTGTGGAAATTAAAGAAATGTCAGATAAGCAGGGTTATTCAGTCAGACCATCCAGTTAAAAGTTACTGCTAATAATGCTGAAAAAACCCCAAAGGACACACAGAAGATTAAATTACTCTTATTCATATCGCTCATTCCTCCCAAACACATTTTAGGTCTATTTGTCCTAGTCTTGGGATATAGTATCAATGTTCAGCTGGAAAAATGTGGGAATTACACCCTCAATTGTTAACTGCATACTTTCTGGGCAGGACTCACATATATGTAATAAACAGCAATAAGGTGATGGTGTTTTGTTTTCAGAGGTAGCCACTCCGTATTTTCTTTGGTGGCGGACATTAAATGTTAAGAGCTATAGCCATTAGCCACTGACTAGCCAAAGTCTGGATTATCTTTCAGCTCCTAGCAATTGTACATCCATTATCAGCTATTAAAAAAAAAAAAAAAAAAAAAAACCAACAGATGCTGTACGCAACTTGCAGTATCCTAGCAGCTGATAAGCCTTGGACCTAGCAGTCACATACATGGAACAAATTTCTATCAGGAAAAAAAAAAAAAAATCTGACCACAAACATCAGGACCATACAACTGAAACACAGTAACAATATTAAAATAAACAAAAACTTACTATGATACCAAACATACCCTGTTTAGTTTTGACAGAACCTGATTATATGATGTAACAAAATTCCCATAAAAGAAAGTGAAAAATCAATCTTACATACCACTAAGAAATCACTGTAATCATTAACTACTAAAAAGCACTAAGAAACTAGCAGCCTCAGAAACCCATGATAAAGGTAAAATGAACAGCACTGAAAAAAACGTATTTTACCATAAGCCAAAGCCTACAACTGTTGCACAATAGAGGAACTAAGCTAGGCTCTTTCCTTCTGACCAGGGGCAGGTATTTTTTCCATTCCCAAGTATTTTCATTTACCTTAGACAGTGCGTAATTGATGTATTTTGTTCCACATCAACCGATAGATCCAGAAAGTCCTCATCTTTGCTACTAACCTTGAAAAAAATAAGAAGAAACATTTCATAACAGTTTAGAACTGGCAGATTTCTTTTAACCATTTTTGGAATGGTGCAATGTCCTTGTTGCAAGTAGAGAGCTTCACGATAAAAAAATAAATATACACATACACAGAGGCCCTTTCTTGAGGTAAACTAAAACTGAAGAAATAATCTGATGTGTTGCTACAATCCAGAGAGGAATATTAAAAAACATAAATTAAAAAAAAAAAATAAAAAACAGAAAAACACACAAAGAAACAAATGCAAAAACCTTTCTTGCAAAACATCTCTCCCCCTTGAGACTTCAAGACACATCTGCTTACTTCACTGGAATAAACAAGTTTTTAACCACTCAGAGCTGGAGAGGCTTTAACCATATTCCATTCTGCTTTGTAGACTGATATAGCTTCCTGCTGCATTTCAGAGTTTTAACAGTAAATGCTTATAGGAAACACAAAAACAGGCAGATGGGTTTTCAATTAAAAGGGTTAGCAGTTAGAAAAACCATCTTTCCATTTGTGGAACCTTTAATTTCAAAATTCTTGAGACAGAATCTTATTAAATATAATTTTTAGAGCCTCTATTCACCACATAGCCATAGTTTTAGATTTAAAATGCCAAGAACTTCGGTTGTAATCACTTCTTTTTTCTTTCCCCATCCGAGGTTTTTTTGTTGATGTTGTCATTAGTTGGTTGGTTTTTTTTTTTTTAGAAATATTAAATCAGACATAGCACATGACTAACTACAAATTCCTGGTCTGAAGGTGGTGTGGTGGTTCTAATTCTAGACTTAGTGGCACTTTTGCTCTCAAATAGAGTGGCTATGGACCAGCACCAAGAAACACAAACTTCCCATTCAAGAAATTCGGTTAATCCCAGAGCTAGATAAATAGTGAGCAACTCTCATGTAGAAACACAACATAAACTATCAATCACTGACACAGGAAATAACATGAAGACAAAAAGGCAACTTATATCAGCCAGGTGCAGACTGCCTTGATGGAAACAGGGAGGAGGAACAGAAAAAACACTACGCTTTTTCTGAGAAACATACCTTAATGAGTATTGGTTTGAACATAGAGGTGATACAGTCATAAAATAGGCTATGCTCCATATTTTAATAGAGAGAGTGCAATTTCATCTATCCTAATAAATGAAAAAGTGTGCTTAGTATTAGGGAAAATGATCCAGAACCTGTGAAAAATCTAAGAGGTTTGGTTTGGTTTTAAACGTACAGCCTCACAGTTAAGACATCTGGTTTCATTGGTTAGTGTTCCTTGGAAGATTTCATGGACCCACGTCAGATCATTCTTGTCTCCTTCTTCACTCTCAATGCTGCCATTCTGGAGTTTGCCATTCTGCTTCTCCTGCTTTTTCTCTTCTTGTAGTAAGTCAGCAATAGTGTTAAGTAGGTAGTTTAGGAATTCATGTGCATCCTGCTGCATATAATTATCAAATAATTCTGGAAAGGAAGAGATCAAGGAGAATGAAAAAAATACAGATACTTCATAGTATCAAGTTACTATGTTTTTAGCAATCAGTGTGTGCCCTTCCCCCTTCTCTTCACTATTATACAATTGTGGGTTACACTGCTAAGTGCTTTTGAAGAATTATACTTTGTTGTTCTCACAATGGATGTTAGGTTACCCTCACCTATTCCTCAGGTTGTAAGAAACAGGCAGCTGAAAAATAACATGAAACTCAGTTTGGGCATTTCCTGAAATTGAAGAAAGCCACAACTGGTTTCAGGGTTTGGGGGCTTGGCTGTTTGGTGGTTGTTTTTTTTTTTTGTTTGTTTTTTTGTTTTTGTTTGTTTGTTTGTTTTGTTTTTTTGTTTTTGTTTTTTTGGTTTGTTGGGTTTTTTTCTTTGGGGAGGGAGAGAAAGAAAGAAATTCAGATGTATTGCCTTGGGCCATTAGTTCATTAAGTCCACCATCAAGGGGCAAAAATCCCCTACTATAAGTTTGTTATCTTTTCAAGTTCAAGCAGAGATGATAAATCAACACACAGAACTTCTCCTCACAAAGTAGCCCTGGGAAATAACCACTAGTTCTCATGATAAGGAATTTATCTTACTGCAAACATAGGAAAGCAGGCTAGGAGTGGTTCAAGTCTCCTTAGAGAGTTCAACTTTGACCAACTCCATGAGGTCTGTTGAGCCCGTGACAATTTCTAGCAACAACCTAAAGCGTGCTGCCTTGCTGCAGACCTCTACAGAACATGATGCCAACGTGGAGTAACTGGAATACTGAGACCAAGCACGTGCTCCGTACTTGGTCTAAGCAAGTACAGAAACAAAGGTAACTAGATAATCCCCTCACAACACAGCACAGTTTTGATATAATCTCTGTTCTTATGCTACAGAGGTGGTGAAATTCACACCATAAACAGGAGTTCAAAAATCTTCCAGAAATCTGTTAAAACTTGACAGTTTGGACTCACTTAAAAAGGAAGTTGCGTTTACGTTTTGTACACTTAAATCTGCATAAAATTTTCATTTACCATTTTCTTTCCTCAATCGGGAAATAAATTTCTTGGGTGGGATGACTCCCACCTTCTTCTTTTGTGTAGCAATACTGTTGAAGAGATCAGAGAGGCATGTCAGGAGGCTTTCCTTCTTTCGAGGCTGCACTTTGTATGCCAAAACTTTTTCCCGAAATGGACGACAAAAATAAAGTGCCTGTAAGACTGAGTTGCAGTAGCAGGTATTGCCGAACTGGTTAAAACAGAACACAAGGAAAACAAACATTTTCATATTAGGTCTGTTAAAAGGTAGTAACAGAAAGAGGTTGCTCATTAAGAATGTCACATACTGAAAATGGAAAAGTCATCTGTCAGAGTTCATTTACTGGGGGAAATACTAGTAGGCATGGTGTAAGACTCATCCTTCCATCATCACAGCTGGTAACAGCAAGAAAAGGAAGAGAAGACAAGTCACAGGGATAGCAGACACACAAAAAGCAGGAAACCACTGACAAAAAAAAAATCCAATTGAGGGCTCATCATAAAATCAAAACTTCTGGAGACACAGCATGCTACTAATCCTAGTAACGCAGATCCTGCTGATACTGATGTGGAGGGGTGGCGATGATACAGTAGGACAGAGGGACAAGAAAACAGAAAAAGGAAGAGACAGCATCTGTCAGCATTACTGCGGCTCAGCTGATGACAGTAACAAGAGCTCAGTGCAAGATTTGCCTGTGTCAGATACACAAAGTACTTTTTAGAGATAGTTAGCAAGGTACATGTTAAATATTTCCTATTAATAATGAAATATTATGAGAAGTACACGATGCTGACAAATTCAAAGAGCAGCTGGTTTACATCTGCCATATCTGAAGGCAGTGTCATTTCAGAGAAAGGAAGACAGCGATAACAACTTCCAGAGGCAGCGTTCCACACTGCTTAAAAAGAAGAAACACTCCGATATTAGCGTATCATCCACAAGAAATACACTATGGGTTTCTAAGTTTTTTTGTTTGTTTGTTTGTTTTGTTTTTTTTTTTTTTTTTTTTTTTAGAATTTATTGTGCAACCGTCTTGTACAATTCTGTTGCTTCAAAAAAATAAAATAAATTCTGCGTGTGCCAGTCCCCAGACATTCCGGTAATGAGATTCTGCATCTCAAGAGCATTGAGAGCAACATGTTTTAAATAAACAAAACGAGCATATAAATCTGACTACAGAACACAGACTATTTTGTTAAGTGGTGCTCAGAGAACACCAAAATTTGGTGTGATAACTGTAGTAGAAGGATTTCAAGTTAGTAATCAGTTTGCTGATTGAAACAGAAAATTAACAGTTAAAAAGGTTACAGCGTTATAGCTACATTAATTTATACCATATGCAAACAACATGGAACAACAGTTAAAACTTATCGACATAAGGAAGAAAAACATGCAAGCTGAACAAACACGTGAATTAGGATAGAACCTCACCCATATGCTTGTTAGTGACCTAGGAAAACAAATAAACATCATGCTAATGAAATTTGCATACAAGACAAAATAGACAACAGAACTACCAGAAGTCTGATTCAATACTATTGCTTTCAGATGAGGTATCAAATATCCCAGAAAATTAAGAGACAGAAGAAACTAGAAATTAGCCATCTTAAAAAAAAATATGGAAGGTCACGGTGCATCTTAAGTCAAAAAAGTTCACAAAGCAAGTAGTTAATGAGATTTCAGCACTCTACTCATAGAGGAATCATGTCAAAAAGCATGAGGTCAACTGGTTATACATGTCCTGCTCTGACACTACCCACCCAGAGAGAGATTATTAGAATCAAACCAAATGGAAGAGTTATAGGAGTTAAAGAATTAAAATTTCATTGAAATAGCTTTAAAAATTCCTGACAGTAAGATGCAAGATGCTTTGCAGTAGTGAAAGTGATATGGTGAAAAATTCACTTTATGGCATGTTTTCGGTTTTTAAAATGTCATTCCAAATAGTATTTCGACTCTGTTTGCTACCACCTTCACACAAAGTAACATAGAAGAACTTTTATTCCTGAAATCAGTATCTTGCATGTTAGTTAGCATTTTAGGTATTTTACTGAACGACAAGTACTTTACAAAAAGACAATGTGATGCATTTTATTTCAGCAATTCTGACCGGTTTTGTGTTAGAACTAAAGCCACCCAACTTTGAGCAATTCAGGGCCTTGGGAAACTTCTAGAGATCTCAATTACTGATCCACACTTCCCTGTATTAGAGACAGTTCTCCACAAATAAACAGGATTACACTTTTGAACTGCAATCAGTTTGCATTTAGAAGCAAATGTAATCAGATCCTTCCAATCATGACCTTCACTTTGCTAAAAATTCTGCCTGACAAAAAAAGAGGGCTCTAACCATTGGTCTTCAACAGAACTCCAAAAACCAGGTTGGCAAGACAGTTCTCAGTGGGCTGATGAATATTTCCAAACCTGGAGCTACAAGCACAGATAGTGCATAAAGTCTAACGTGGCCTAAAACACAAACAAAAACCAGGTACAAACACATAGGTTTTTAAATCTTTTTGTCACTCTTTCTGTGGTATAAATAAGAATTATAAATAGATGCCAAATGATAAGGTTTTTTGCTTAAAATTGACTGTATTTAGAGTCAACATTACCTGACTACATAAGCACTTGTAAAATTTTATACTTTCAATGTAAAAATAAATTCTGAAGGCTTATTTTAAGATGAAAGCATCTTAAAATGAAAACTGATATGGAATTCTGGAAAGAAAACATTGTTCCATCCCTCTTGCACTTCAATTCAACATTACATGTAATCTATTTTAACAGGCTGCAGAAGGAGTTGTCAGACCCCTCCTCCCATATACTCTGCAGTGGCTTTAGCAATAGTTTAACTGCAGGCAAGATGGTTCAGCTCACTGATCCAAAGAGAAAATAGCTATTAAAAAAATATTTAAAGCCTCCATTGTCCACAAGTTCAACACCTGATTCTATTTGCAGTGCAGCCACACATTTACTAGTATTGGTGCTAAAGCCATGAAACTGCCCTCTTTAAACTGCTCCAATTAACTTCAAATCATGGAAGAACCAGAAATAGCTTAGGAGAAAGCTCTGCAGAACAACAGCATGAAAACGATCATCCTAAAGAAATTGTTTGCAAGGAATAAAGCACAACAGTATTAGTCATATTTTGTCCTTCAAAACAGAGAATGGACGTGGTTATAATAATTCTGGTTATTTTTAGAATGCTATTTTTCCTCTTCACACTATTCATGGCTCTGCTATTTATGTTACAATTGGAGATGCCTTCCATTTTTCTCATTATGGTGCAAACCTCAGCAGCTTTGGAATGGCCATTAACACCATACTTAAGGAATATAACTCAATGTCTGTAGATAGTTTGGTGTCTGAGAACATAAACTGCTAGAAACCCACACAGAAGTCAATTAAATGAGTTTGTAACGAGCTGTAACACATAGCACTTTAGTAGCTATGTTAACCTTATTTGGTGTGTCAAAATAGAGATCATATTTCAGTCTTCAACAAAATGTACCTAGATGACCAGCAGACAGAAGTATACTTAAGTTTCTAGTGAGGTTTGCCAAAATTGTATTTTCACATCATAAATATGACGCCACAGAACCACTGTTTCTATTAACTAGCTTCCTATATTCATGGGTAAAAGATGTCACAGGCACCAACAGCTGCCTTTCTCCTCCAGAAGCACTGGCAAGATTGACATCAATGCTCCATTCTCTCCATAGTTAATTTAGGTAGACAACTCATTGCCCAACAGATCCCAGTCAAGTCAGATCTATACAAGCTGACAGATACAAAAAAATACATCTTTTTAGAAGGATTCACTGTTACACAAGGCTGTCAAAAAATTTAAAAAACGGAGTATTACTACATGTAAGAAAATTATCGACCAAGTCAATGTCATTTATCTCCTGGCTCTGTCCTTGCATAGAACTTCCACTAATCCCACAAGCAATATGCTTTCAGAAAAGCAGCACATTTTCATTTTAAAACCTGAAGGCTCCCATACACTGCAGCATCAGTGTAAAATCAGATCGCTCTTCTCTAGAAGAGCATATGAACAATGTACACACTTTATTAATGTCCTCTCCAGCTAAATATTAAAATCCTATAAATAGAAAGGTACCTGAGTAGCAAGGCTTCTCTCAAAGACTTTACTATAAATATACTTATTTTTCTGTTTTTAAGATGAAATTTATACTTTGGTTAATAACACCACATAGCACCATATTGCAGGATTGTCTATGCAGAGTCCCACTTTAAGTTAGAAGTGCTCATAGATGAAGTTCTAACACAGAATCCTGTTAAATTCAAGATTAGGATATAAATTAAAAACCAGAACTTTAACAACAGAAAATTCACTTACATTGACCAAGCCAAAATAATGCTCATTCACAGGGAACTGTTCAGGACCAATCTCTTTCTCCAAAGCAGAGGCATTGGCGCCCTACAAAGAAACAGTATGTATATGTTAGAGAGAAAAAAAAACTTCCTAAAAAATCCAACGGAATTCATACTACTCCTATAAAAACAAAGAAGCTAAGAAAATAAGTTACTTCCATTGAGAATCAGCATCTCATGCTTCCTATGTTCTTCAAAATTCAATAGGATGCTTTATTATTATAGAAGGTCCCACAGTTACACTTAAAAACTCAACTTCATCAGCTGGAATTAGAGCTACCTGATTTAACAGAAGGAGTGTTTGTATTTTAATTTATTTTAAAGTTAACAAGAAATTTGTTCTCCTTTAAGACTTCAGGTTAGTTACTGTGACCTAGAAACACCAATTTAAATTTAGCCAAGAATGCATTGTAAAAATAAAGAAACTTGTAACACACAGAGAACTTCTAAACCTAGAGGACAGAAACAATAAGAACTACAAATCCCATGAAAGAAAAAATGTGTTTTTGTGTTGTGGACAGCACAGAAAGTTTGGTGTGGCTGTTTATTATTTGCATCTCATATAAAGAATCCCTGAAAAAAACCTTGTCTTCACTGACACTTTATATTACAAAGACTCTAATTCTCTAATTTTATTTCTGCAAAGTACTATGGACATGGGAAACACAGATACAAAAGAAAAGAAGAATGGAAAGAATTTTATCAAACATTCCTCAAACTTAGATCACTTTAAAGTGCTTTGGCTTTGCTACCCTTAAGTTAAGGACAATGTATTAAGCTTACAATGCATTTTGATACATCCTTGAGTCTCCATCAATATAATGAGGATAGAACTTACTATTTTAGATACAACTGAAAAATACCACTACACATCCATGTGGTCTTGTCATATAAAACAAGAACTAACACGTACCAACATTTTAGTTTCAATTTTAACTTTGTCCACTTCAAATTCAAAGTGGTTGATGCATCTCTTTCCATTTTCTTTCCCCTTTTTTTAACCCACTAATACCTTATAGCTGAGCTCCCACTTGCTATTTGGCACCTTCCCTCATACCACTCCATCTTGTTCTCTCATGTTTCTTGCTGATCTTCCATCAGTCCTTAGATGTATCTGTGCTGTTATCTAAGGAGTTACCATCATTCAATGCAGAATCCAAGCACTTTGGATTCTTGACTTCTGTTTTAAATATCCAAGTCACTCCACCTATAACCTTCTGCAAACAGTAAACAGAAATCCTTCTGCACAGGTGAGCCATCTTAAAACACCTCAGAAAAGTACTAAACAAACAAAAATTACAGTCCAGCAAAATTCAATTCATCTATTTCCCTGAAGCTAGTAATGTTTTTAATTGCTGAGCAAATATTTCAATCATTTCCATTAGCATTCTGCTATTAATATAAAACACAGACAAGTAGGGGCTGTATAGACAGTTTCATCTAGATTGTCTTTAACAAAGAAATAACTAAAAATTTTCTAAGAAACAGAAAAGAAACAAAGAAATAATTTAACAGGAGGAATGGAAACTCTGTACTTGATCTCCCAGCTCAGATTTACAATGAATTACATATATCAAAAAAAAGACAGAAAATGAGGAAGGCTCAAAACTGGGTACCGTAAAAAACACAAAAACATTCACTAGGTGCTGACAGATTTACAAGCAAGACTCTTCACAAGCAGTAATTACACGGAATTTTTCTGAGGCATCTGTGCCAGTTCAAGCAGCTCTTCTCATTTGTTTCCCTACACCCATTCCCTGCTCCCAAGTACCTCTTTTTCTCTCCACTGTCTCCCCCCAAAAAACCCAAACCAAACCCAGACATCTGCAGGGAAGAACTGTTGATACAGCACTCTTTAAATGCTACTTCAGCTCTTCATTTACATTGGTCTGATCAGCAGTGACTTTGGGTAATAGTGTAATAGGAGATTATAACCTACGTGCTGTGTAAATACACAAGAAGAGGTGATGCTGGTTTTGAAAAATTTTGGGTCTTGAAATCAGAACTGACTGCTAAATGCGGTTCCTTTACTCTTACATTAAGCATGTTTTGAGATTAAGGAAGGGATATGTGTAAAATCCACAAGCTTGTGAAGTTCAGTTTAAATTTCTCTGAACAGTCTTCTCACCTCCTCCATGATCTCCGGATCTGCATTAGAGAAACACTGGAGAAACAGACAACTAAAGCAGGTACCACAACTTACAGAACTAGTGAAACCAGACAACCCGAATACTCCAGTCTGTAAAGCAACATATGAAATAAATATCTGAACAAAGAAATAAAAGCATAAGAACTGTAATTTTTAATAGAACTATGCTATAAAGAATTTAATAATCTACCGTAAACCAGTGTTACAACTCATCTAAACCACCAACCTGTATTCCACATGCATATACCCCATTGAATCTAACAGGTTTCATGTGACTTTTTTTCAAGTGCTTCCTTATATCTACTGCCCAAACTCTGTAAATTTGGGTAAGTTAACTGCAGGGCAGATTAAAAAAATTAAGGTTTCCTTAATAAATTAAATGCTAAAGTTAAAGTCATTCAGCCACAGAAACTAAATTAACGTAAGGTTTAGTTGCAATGTTTCTGAAGTTTCTTGCCAGAGAACATTTTAAATTAGCATACCAAAACCATAAAAACCAGAACAGGACCCAAAGTAATTGTGGGAAACAATTCATAACATCACAAAGTAGTCATGAATAGTTCTGAAGGTGAAAACTTGCAAATGAAATAATACGTAACATACTGAAGAAACTCTACAAAATGTACATGCTTGGCATACCATGATAAAATAACTACATTGCAGACAGTATAAAGTGATTTAGCATGGAAGTCAATGTTCAGAACTACATTACACAAGGCAACAAGTACAGAGAGGAAAGAAAAAAAAAAAGCACTTTAAGATGACAGCAGAGATTGGCCTTGGTCATGTTTCAGGATGGAAATACATGACACGCTTGAGAGTAAGGCTGCACAACTGGAGTCAAAGCTCAGCTACACACAATCCACAATCTTTGCAAATAAATTTGCAAATAGCAAATAAACCAAATGGAGATCAAATCTAGTGTAGCATGAACTATGTCTTGCTGTAATGGAGCTTAATAAGCAGCTTTGTTTTCAGACTGATAGGTGTTAAACACATTTTCCCGCCCCCACTAAAAGATTTTTCCATCTGGATAAATATTGCTGCTTCAGATCATGTAAATATTTGCTCATAAGAATTAATACACACTTCATACCTTTGGAAACATAAAAGTCGTATTTCTCATCTAGAAATAAAATATAACCAAAGTGGCAAGTGTTCAAAGTATGAAAATTTATATTTGATTATTTGAAGAATCAAGAGAGATGCATCTCTTTGGGGGTGCCACAGAAAACTATTCAGTATCTTACAGTACTTCGCACATCTAAAAACATAAGAAAAACAATTTTTTTGCTAAACTATGACACACTGTGGGAACAATAGAAAATTACAAGAAAAAATTCACTAATAGGATTGCATTTGCTTGGGATATAAAAGCTAAGCAAATAATGTACGCTAAAATACAGCTAAATATAAAGCTTAATGCACGAGATTAGATTTGACTTCTCACTGGTAGTGCAAGAGAAATAAATACATCTTATGAAAAATCCAGAAGTATATCCCTGAGACCTCCAGGAGGTCCAAGAAAATGTTCTCAGGGAACTGCTCTGCTACCCCAGTTCAGGACGAGATGATAAAACTTCCTGTACACAGCTCTGTGAGCAGGAACAACACACAAATTTATACAGTCAACACATAATTACCTGATGAGGAAAACATCCCCCCTAGTTTAACTAAAGTGGTAATAATGTTTTACTTATATAATTAGACTCTCAGAGAGATGCGAATTTAACACTTCCATATTGGTGGGGGAGGTGACAACTAAAGTTTCAGCAACTTGTAATCAGGATTTGTAATTTTCTAGAAATTACTGTGACTTAAAATGTTGTCTCAGAGGTTGGTTGCACTCTTCAAGAGCTGCCCTATTCTGTTCACACCCCCACTAGCAGAACTAACTTTGACTCTAGAGAACAAGCAAGCTTAGCTCAGTGAGTTTCTGCAGTTCTGGCACTATTAGTCAAATAGAAAAATGGAAAGCTGCCTGGCCCATCTGAACTATCACCATTTTAGCAGTTCAGAATAATAGATACAGTTATCAATGGCCAAGATGACCCCAACAGACTAAAAATAAAATATTTTCTGTCACAGCTGCAGTAATTTTACTTTATGCATATTAGCTAATTATAAAAGGGACCTATCCAAGAACATTTGTGCTTACTGATTTCCATCAGAAAAGACAAAGAACACCCTTTAAAAAAATTCCATATACTGAATTTTAAAGTATCTAACAAAAGCACAGGGAATTATTAATATTCAAGTTCTCTTCCATTTTTCATACCAACTCAGTAAGATACATCACACCAACATCAGATGTGTGCGAGATAGAGGGAAGATAGGATTAACTGAGTAAAACTAGTATTTACCCAAAGAACACCAAAAGGTCTCTAAGGCAGGTTTTGCTGAGTTTGGTAAAGCAAAAAAGGATGTGAAAAGACCAGTTTCAAAAACTCTCACCTGAGGCAGCTGTCTAACCAGGTCATCACGGATGAAGTGACCCCACAGTACAGCTGAAATTTTAACTGAATAACCCATCAAAACCAGAACAGAGATCTATCAAGTCTTCCAATTTGTGAGTCCTTTTTGCTTAGCAGAGAAGTCTTAAAGATTTAGTTCCAGTTCAATACACTGTGTAAGTGGAAAAAACAGTAGCAGACTTCTGTTTCTTACCCAGATTACACTGCTAACCCAACGCATCGCCAAAGCGAGGTAACAAAGAAATGTGTTTAGGCATTACAGTCTCTTAGAAGCTCTACAAACAGCTTGTGACTACTCCTACAAAGAGAGTATTTTGTCTAGTCTAGATTTAATTGATTTCAGAAACTGAAAGCGTATCAACTGTTTCCAGGGGCTTAAATACCTTTACGCCTTTAAACTTATTTGAATTTGTAATTATTCTT